GAATACTCTATGTAGCAAAGCTATCATTCAAAGTTGAAGGTGAAATAAAGTGCTTCCCAGACGAAAAAGGGAAACTTTAAGACAGATAACCTTGGGTTATTACTTATAGGTACTTACTTATTGCCATTTTTATTCTTTATGCCTGTGTTCCTGTCTTTCTCTCATTTCTTATTCTTACAACAGCCCCTTTAGCATTTCTTGCAGTGCTGCTTTGGTGGTAATAAACTCTAGCCTTTTTTTGTCTGGGAAGCTGTGGAATAGGCGGAAGCTATACTGCTCTCCTGCCCGTTCCAAACTGGATTTGCAACTAAAATATAGATCAATAAGCCTGAATGACCAGAAATATCATAACCAATGATCCACAGAAGCAATGTGGAGTCATAAGAACAGCAGAGACATGGAAAGGCCTGGATGTATACCCACATACCAAGGATGATATTCTGGAAGCGTATCTGGACTGCAAAGTTCTTCCCTGAGAAGCTTGGTGTCTCAGCCCCACACAGGGATCCCTAACCCAGAGCACCAGAGCCAGGAAGAGGAGCGTGCATAGCATCTGACTGAAAATCAGCAGGGAGAGAAGGGAGTCTGCTAGAAACCCTCTCCTAAAGGGTCAGTGCACAGGATCTTGTTCTTGAACACTCACCTTTGGCTCCAGTAGAGGGAAGGAAACTCAGGGCATAAGGAAGCCATACACAGAAGATCTGCGTGGTGTGGCCTCAAGGAAAGATCTGGAGGGTCAGCCACTGCTAAGTCCTTATCTCACAGCACCCTCAGACGCCATCAGAGCATTTACAGTGCCAGGCTGGGGAGTGCACTAGCCCAATCCTCCAACTGCTGTGGCACCACCCTGCTGAACTCATCTTTCAGATAGGTCCACTGGCTTCACAAAGCAGAAACCTCTGTGCACTTTTTTTTTTTTTGAGGAGCTGTTGGCAGAGACGCACACAATCGTCAAACTGTGTAACTCTGGAGCAGGGGACATTCTTCCCACCACGGCGTGCCACTGGCATACCCTTACCCACTTGAGAGATCCACTTGTCCTGTGATCCCAGTGGCCGTGCTCTGCTGAGCTCAAGACCCGGGGAGCGGGGAGGTCAGCTGGCTGCACACAGTCAGGACCTTTGATGTGCTTTCTCCTGGGAAGCTCTCGTTGGAGACTCAGACGGGCACTGAGTTGTGCCACCCAAGGGCAGGGTCTGTTCTTCCTCTCCACCCCCAACCCCATGCTACTGGTGTCCCTTCCTCATTGGGAGATCTATTTGCCCTGTCTTCCTGACTTTTGAGATCTCACATCCCATGCAGGGGTCAGCTGGTTCCACACAGCCAAAACCTTTGGTAGGATTTTAGCTGGGAAACTCTTGTTAGATACTCAGATTGGCACTGAGTTCTGTGATTCTGCAGGACGGGCCATTCTTTCGCTGCTGCATTCTGCCAGCTTCCCTCCATGTCGCATCAGGTAACCCACTTGTCCTGTTCTTCTAACTCCTGGTGGCCCCACACTTTTGAGCACAAGTCCTGGGAAGTGTTGACTGTGTAGAGCCAGGACCTTTGGTGTGTTTCTTGGGAAGCTTTTGATGGTGATTTAGCAGACAGGCACTGAGTTGTGGGGCTCTGGAAGCATGAACCTTTCCCAACCCCACTGCAAGCTGCAGGAGCTGCTCTCCCTACTTGTCCTGTCCTTTAGTCTCTCGATATCCCCACTCTCCTAGCCTCATGTCCTGCACAATTTTTGACTGTTTGCAACTAATGTGAGCCTGTGGTGCAGTCTAGGTGAGCTATGGTCAGAGGCTAGGACAGAGACTAGGTAGTGTGGATCTGGAATAGGGGCTACTTTCTCCCACTGAGTGGCTGATCATGTTGCTGTTAAGCAAATGATCGTTCTCCTGATTCCAGAACTCCAGCCATATTGAGCTCACACCTTGTGGAAGACACTGCAAATTGTAGCCAGCCTGGGCCCCAGTTCTCAGATGTTCCTCACAAAGCTCTCCAGGAACTTCAGGCAGCCTGAGGAAGTGGTAAAGCGGCTGACAGGTCAAAGAGGATTTTGGAGTGCCATGGGCCTTTTGCTGATACACCCCGAGGCTTGGAGCTGGTGGAAGCCAAGGTTTTTACACAACTTGGACCCTCCCAAGCACATTCAATCCCAGTAGAGGTAGCCAGAAACTTTAGATCATTTGGTAGCTCCAGACAGGTATCCCAAGGCCAGTTAATGGCCAAGTCTGACATCAACCTACACTGGAGGCCCCCCCCCCCC